CGGCCCGTTACAAGTATGAGTTGACCACTTTTTGATATCTAGTACAGGAACCGAGATATGTAAGCTCAAAGTGGGAGTATAGAGTGGCCTTCTATTGGAGTGTTTACGGTAAGTTTATTTGAAAAATTGAAAACAATTTTTTCTTTCGAAAATGCTTGAAATATAAAATTTCGTCTAATTCTAAGTATAACACAACAAATTTCGTGTTCCGAAACGTCCTAGAAGTTGAGCAAATCGTATTTGAAAGTTTATGTTTTACACAAAATGCGATTTTTGGTACTGCTGAAATTTTTAGAATCGTCTAGAGAGATATTCTTAACTCGTCCTGAAATTTTTATCACAATCTGTGTTTACAAGGTTTTAAGGTCCCGTTGTGAAAATTTTCTGAAGAAACTAGGCATTCCAATATACCAATTAGAGTCTGCTGAATCTAGAATCATCGTTTGCGTGACATTCTGAAGTTTGAATGATCCTTCTAATTTATCATGACAAATTTCTTTGCTTCGGATGTTCCTTGCTTGTCTAGAATCTGCGTCTCCTGTTCCCTGCTAATGAGTAGCCAACAAAATATCTTTCTATTTTCGAAAATAAGACGTCTTCTTCTTCTTGAATTGTTCTTCTACTAACGTCATTCAAACATTAACTCAATTTATTTATACATATTCCTCGAACCGATTTCCAGGTGTTTCTTAATTTTTCCTCTCCCTCCTCCCACATCTTGCTCAGCTATAGATACTTCCTATGTACCACTTCTCGCTAACAATGTTATTATCAGATTTTCAATCCTATTAGGTTTGGTGTCACGAGCTGCTCATTGCTTTTCTGTTTTTTTTTTTGGCTCGCAGGTTGTCGTGGTTTCCGAATGAAATAGTCACCAAGCCATATTTTTCAAAAAAAGAATCCTTACCGTAACTTTGAGCCAACTTTTCTTTTTTTCACGTAGGAGATATCAAAAAAGTGTCCACTGATAAATTGTTTATCATAGAATGAGCAATATTTCATTTGTTACCCAAATTTTGATATCTTCTACATGAGCCGAGATTAAGCTGGTCGAAATAGACGCGATGGAGTCCCCTCTACGATCCCTAGATGAACATCACTGTACTTTGAGCTCAATTATCTCGGTTCATATAAAAGATATCAACATTTTGTCCACTAATAAAATGTAGATAATGATACGATAAATATTTTATCAGTTGATTATATTTTGATACCTCGCATATGAGCCGATATAAAGAAGGTTAAAGCAGAAACAACTGGGAACCCCCAAAATGCCACCCTAAATTTGTCCTTCCTTTAAGCCAATTTTTCCCGGTTCCTGTAAAAGATATCAAAAAAGTGTCAACTGATAAATTGTTTATCATGATATGAGAAATATATTATCAGTTGACATATTTTTTGATAACTTGCACAGGAATTGAGATAATCGAGCTCAAACTTTAGGAGAGCCCCCGTGTGATACAAGATATTGTCAAGTTTGAGCTATCACTTTGAGCTGTTACCTATTCCAGGTTTTACGGTAGATTTTGATCTTTTTTGTTACTTGTCATTTTGATATCTAGGAATATGTCAAAGGTTTCTGATTTTGATATTTCCATGTGATCCATTTTCATCTCCGTATAACGTTATACACTTTTCACCTGTTCTGCTCTCTATCAGTTTAAACATTAACTTCTGATATTTAGGCAGGAAATATACTTCATCAGAGCTTCCTTCATGGTCCCATCTGACATGATAAGTACGAACTACACGGCTCCTTTGGGGATGCTCTCCAATTCCACGTCAACGTCTATCTCGGAGCTTGCCAATGATTTGATAACGACGACCCAGTTGCTAACAGCAGAAGAGGATTCTTGCAATGAACTGAATACTTCATGTGTATGTCACACAGAATATGCAAGCTATGAAGGATTGGAAACGTAAGAAATCCAATGAGAATCTATATTTTAATCAATGTTTTAGCCTTATGCTCGGTCTGATAGCAGTTCCGATTATAATGTTTGGGATAATGGCTAATGTGACGTCGATGCGCATCTTCACACATCGAATCATGTCCAGCTCGTCCATCAATTGGTATCTGGCTGTGCTCTCCGCTTCCGACACTCTGATTCTTGTTTCCGCATTCTTCGTTCTATCATTGCCACGTTTCGGGGAGTATCTAAAATGGTGGAGAGCCAATTATATCAGGTAATATTACTTTTTTCAGTCAGAGCTCATATTTAGGTTTCACTAACAAGGTTATATAGTCAGGTGCTAGTTAACCTAATAACTGAATCGCTTGAAGTTTGACCATGGAGTTATTTTTGTCCTAGTGATTCAATTCACCACATGATTTCATTTCAGCTACTCGGTGACCCCTTACATGTACGGATTAATGATGACTGCCCAAACGTGCAGTGTCTTCATGACTGTTGGTGTCTCTGTCCATCGCTACATCGGAGTTTGTCATCCATATAAGTCTGTAGAGTGGCTGCCCAAGAAAAGAGTTACCTCGTTTATAATTGGACTTCTCACTTTCTCGGTCCTCTTCAACACCACTCGCTTTTTTGAGGTAGTTTTATATACCGTCAACTTTGAGCCCATGTATCTCATTTCCTGTAAAAGATATTAAAAAGTAGTAAACCAGCAAAATGTTTATCATAATATCACCAATATCTTATCAGTTGACCTATTTCTGATATCTTTCAAGACAATTGAGATAATTGAGCTCAAAGTTAAGGATGGCATTTTTAAAAAATTAGGTAAATCTTTAGGTCCACATCTCCAATGTTTGCTATCGGGAGAATATCGACTACTATATGCCGTCTCTTCAACCGACAGCTCTTCGATTGGACGATTTCTACATTCAAATATTCTTCGGCTGGGCTTATACAATTGTGATGTACGTGATTCCATTCACTCTTCTAATTGCCCTCAACTCGATGGTGCTGGCTGCTGTGAGAAGATCTAGACGGATGCATATGGTCTCTCAGGTTTTGAAATTTTTCTTTAAATGGGGTCAATTTAATATTTTCAGTGCGGAGCTGAAAGTGAAGAGTTCTCGAAGAAGGCAGAAAGAAAAGAGAGACAAACATCAATTATGCTCATTGCCATTGTGCTTCTTTTCATTTTCTGCAATACTTTGGCTTTCGTGTGCAACATCATTGAAAACATGGGAGGAGATGGACCACTCTACAGGACTTTGGTTACGACTAACAATCTTTTGGTGAGATATTTAGATGAGATTGATGTTCTTAAAGTTCTCGGCGTGCCATGTTACTTTTAGAATGATCTTTTTTTTTCGATAGAGCGATTCTGCAAAAAATACACCGGTTTGGGGTTGCTAACCTTCCACGGGGCATATCTTGCTTCTTTAGGTTTCTATCAAAAAAGTGTCAAATACAAAAATTAAGTTCTACTTTTTGTTTAATATTCTCTCAAATTTTCAGACAAAACCAAAAAGTTTGAAATTATTTTGTAAGGGGTTGAAAATGTAAAGTTTACAGTGAGTGAGCAAATAGAACACCCCCCCCCAAACCGCCAACTTTGAGTCTTTATGTCTCGGTTCTTTTAAACGATATCAAAAATGTGTCAATTAAGAAAATGTTTGTGATATTATAAACGTTTTATCAGTTGACCACTTTTTGATATAATTCACAGGAACCGAGATATATGAGCTCAAAGTTTAAAGCGGTTTCTAGTAGAGTGTTCACTGTAGCTACCCTTTACAAATTTGATCCTCTATATCTCGGTTCTTGTGGAATATAATAAAAAATTGTCAACTGATAAAATGTTCATCACACTATTGTCAATATTTTATCAGTTGACAAATTATTGATATCGTTTACAAAAACCGAGATATATAAGCTCAAAATTTAGGTCGACTTCTAGTGGAGTGTTTACGGGAACTACTCTTTTGCACTCCTGGTGCTATAATTTCCCATTAAAAAAATAAAATTTTTCTAATAAAATTTTTCAGGTTATAATCAACGCTTCGTGCAATATCTGTGTCTACATGTTATTCTCCGACAAGTACCGAATGCTGTTGCGTTATTATCTCTACTGTGATTGGTCCCGGCAAGGAGAACTTCTTGTTAGTTCGGTTCTTACTTGAACATTTTTACATTTTTCCCCCAAAACCTCAGTTAATTATTATTTCCTTCCTCCCTTCGGGTTTCTTCACTTCTTCCGTTTTCATAGCACGCATGCTCAATACCGTAATTGTGTTTTTCTTCCCGTAGCAATTTCTAGTCAATCGATATCTCAATCCTGAAATTTTCTAGATTGACCGCACCGAGAAAAGCCAAACGTGAGCACGCTATCACCTGGAAAACTGTCTTCTTCTACAACTGTTGTAGCTTCTTCTAACCTGTCCTTCTACAAGTATAATATGTTCAAACAAACGGGTTAACTTCAGGCTGATTTTAAATACCCCAGTGTGCATGTGCTTGTCAATTCAAAATATTTGTATTTTTTGAAATAAACTTTGATTCTTGTATTACAAAAAAGTGACATAGATCATGAGTCAGATTCAACAACAGATGTTTCCACTGCGACAAGTTCTTCCACCACCACACTGTCCTGCTACGCAGGTGCCAAACGGAGTTTGATTATTCGGGCACACGGGACAGCAGTTTCCATTAGGTTGGCAGGTGAAACCGTTTGGACATATGCCCTTAAATATGATTATTATTCTGAAATGCAAAAGTTTGACCTTACAAATCCACAAGTTCCATATGCTCGACCATAGGGACATTCACAGCAATAGTTGGACGAAGTGCAAACTTGTGATTGTGAGGAGCATCGAGAGGTCATGTCACAAGATCCAAGGGCTACTTGGCCTCCACAAGCAACTGAAATAAATTGAATGATCAGAAAATAATAAAGACCTATTATCAAATATGAAAATAGGAAAAAGTTTGCTTGTGAATAGGGTCACTGACGGGTCTTCGCGGGCCCTGTCCTAGTTTCTTTCGGAATTGATATTTTTGGACCAGCTGAATTAGATATGATAGAAATTGGCGAGTACTTTAAAATGATACTATTTTGAGTACCGTATCATGCCTATGAACAAAGTTACAAGCTAGAAACCGTCTAAGCTATGCGGTCACAGCTTTATAGCTTGCAACTTTGTTCATAAACGAGATTCAGTTTCAAAAATAGTTTCAGTTTGTAGTACTTGTTTACTGTATCTTGTCTATGAACAAAGTTACAAGCCAAAAAGTAGCCGGGTTCCTGGCGGGCTCCTGGCAGGTCACTGGCGGCTCTTTGCGGGTCTTGTCCTATTTCCTTTCGGAATTAATCGTTTTTAACCAACTAAATTGGATATGACAGAACTTGACGAGTACTTCAAAATGATACTTATTAAAATACTGTGCCTTGTCTATGAACAAAGTTAAAAAATATATGGTGGCCAAGCCCGGCAGCCAAAAGTATGAGCTTCGTATCGTTCATAACTTCGTTCATAGACAAGGTAAAATATTTCAAACAAAATCATTTTGAAGTACTCGTCAAATACTATTATATCTGATTTAGTTAATCCAAAAAGATTTATTCTAAAAGAAACTATGGCAGGGCCCGCAAAGAGCCGCCCGGAATCCGCCAGCCCTGGATTACCAGTATAGGGATAAACACAAACCATTCCACTCGTTTCCTGTTATTGTACAGCACAATCCTCCAATACAAGTCTGTCCAGATGCGCATTGCCCACGTGCAGTACATCTAACTTCCGACAATTGTCCCGACGGACAGACACCTAAAACATCGAAAACTTCCAAACCTACCGTAAATATTCTGATAGAAACCAATAAAGTCCTTATATCTCGATTTCTGTAGAAGCTATGAAAAAGCGGTCAATTGACAAAATGTTTTTGATAACATAATAAACATTTTGTCAGTTGACAATGTTTTGATATCTTTCACAGGAACCGAGATATATTGGTTCAAATCTTACCAAATCCGTTGGGGGCTCGAGTGGTGGTGGTAGTAGTAATAATTGGAATTGGGTTGTTCTGAGAGTTCGGAGACGAGCAGCAATATCCATTTATACAAGAAGACACTCCAGAATAGAATGCGGAGCACTGCGCTGATTCTTGACAGGGTGCATTTAGAAATAATCCACCGTTCGGGCAAGATCCAGCAGTTGGGCATGCTGAGATGCTTAGGATGTTTGAAATTAAGGGGGAAAAATCACTTACGACTAGTGGAATAGTATTGGTATGGTTGAACTCCACATAAGTATAATTGTCTTTTGGATCTCAACACAATGCCTCTGGTCTCTTGAAGACTATGTACCGAATATACAAATAGGAAGAAAACCACTGAAAAATGCATTGGGAAAAGTCAGACTGGCGAGAAAAAAAATGACGAGATGATGTTCGGGTATATTGCGTTTGCATTTCCCATAATACAATTTATTATTCGGGTATATGCCCATTTCAATTGATGACACAATTATCTTGGTATTTGTACAGCTTTTTTTAGAAGGAGGAGAGAGTGGGAAGGATGATAGAAATAGTATTCAAATAACGATGCATGGGGTAATAATAGGGCGTATATTCATGATACCCAAATAAGCGAAAGTGAATTTGGATTTTATTGAAACAAAAACAAAAAAAAGAAAATAGTTATGGATAAGTTGGGGAGTGTCGAACACTGTATTTCCTCGAATAGAAGTCCACCCAAACCGTAAACTCTACGCCCAATTATCTCGATTCCTGTGAACAATATCAAAATTTTGTCAACTGCTAAATTTTTTATCAAAATATGATAAACATTTTGTCAGATGACAACTTTTTGATATCTTCAACAGGAATCGAGATAAATCGACTCATAGTTGAAAGTTGGGGTGTCTTTCACCGTGTTTGCGGATGGAATAAGTACCATAAAACCTGTATTAAAAGGGCCCCTCACAAAGAGGCCCCTCGAATAAAAAGGCACGAAGGATATTCCAGAAAATTTTCAAAACTCTTTTTTTGCTCAAAATTTTGCTCCGTTTTAGTGAAATTGCTAGATTTTCATGAATTTTGAACTAGAATTTACCAATTTTTCGTTGAAAAAATGTTATTAAAATAGCCGGAAACTTGTAAGGCCCGTCTAATTAAAGGACCCTTCGGAGGTACCATCCACAATAGAATGAAATGCCCTTCTAATGCAGGTTTTACGGTATATGAAAGTAGTTCAAATGCCGTGAACACTCTAATAGAACGCCACCCAAATCGTCAAAATTGAGCCTATGTATCTCATTTTCTGTGAGAGATATCAAATAGTGGCTAACTAATAAAATGTTGCTGATATTATGATAAATTTTTTATTAGTTGACAACTTTATGACATCTTTCAAAAGTCGTGAGATATTTAGGCTTAAAGTCGACGGGCAGGGTGGCGTTCTATTAGAGTGTTTACGGAATGTCTGATTGTTCTGAAAGATTTTTTCCTGACCTGTACTGTACCTGCACTTGTTTCATTTTTGAGGAATTTATGCTTCTGTTCCTGGACCAGAGGGCACCATCCACTAAAAATAAAACTGCAAAAAAACAAACAGTGTCAAACAGTCCGAATAGTTTGAGCGATAGCTTTAAGCCAACAAAAGGAAATATGAAGCACAAAACGACCCGAGAGTATATGTTTTGTTTGGTCTTTTCACTATTCAAACAATTAACAAAATCGTATACCACAACCCTATACCTAAGAGTCCCAATTTTCTTCGCCTTCTAAAAAATCGCATTTGGATGATGCAGTTATTCCTATCCATGACGTCATCTGAACTGAAAACAAAGTCGGATTCGTGTTGATCCACTTCTGCAGAAGTAATTCAATTTGGATGGGAGAGAGAAAAGTGGATGCGTTGATTGAGTAACTGCACATCCGTTATTCCACTTTTTACGCACTCTTTGTTGTGTGTTGCGTGATACCAGGCACTTCAGTTGTCGAAATGATAATTAGGAAGACGTTAATTAAAAGGGAGCCTAATTAACTTTTTCCGTAGTTTTCTGCTTCCCAGCGTTGTGTATTTTCATAATATCACATTTAAAAAAAGCTCTTAAAAGTTGAATTTCCTGAAGATGCCGTCCAAGAGGGTCGCTGTGTGCGATGCTTCTTCATGCATTTTTCTATAATTTTTCGTCATTTGAAGTCGTTTTTTCTGTATTTTAAAGAAAAAAATTCTCACAAATGGCTCAAAAATTGCATGAACACAACTTGGGCGAGAACTCGAATTCGGAGGCGTTTTTCAGGAATTTCAATTTTTTTCTGAATTTTTTCGAAGTGAAATTAGGAAAATATATAACTCTGGAAACATTTTGATGCAAAGTCCCCCTTTAAGGAATTTTCTAGACTCATGAATTTCACCGTTTTAGTATCTAATATAGCAACGAAAATATATGTTATTGAGAGGTATTCCCATGAGAAAAAATATACGAAAATCCCTTTAATTTTCAAAATACTGGGCTCTAATTTTAATATTTTCGTCTAGATGGAGCTTCAAAAAATATCTAATTGTAAGCGTTCAAAAAACTAAACGGCGTAGAAAAATAGTTAAGATTTCTCATAACTACCGTAAACTCTGTTATAAAAAAGATGCCTAACTTTGAGCCCATTTTCCTCGGTTCCTGATAAACTATAGAAAAGTTGTTAACTGATAAAACATTTCTGATATTGTGATAAACAATTTATCAGTGGACAACTTTTTTCGGTCTTTGACTGGGACCGAGATATTTGAGCTTGAACTTGGTTTACGGCGAAACTCATACCAGAAATACACACTCCTACCCATTTCATTGTTTTTTTGTTCCCAAATTTTCTTGTGCTTCACCCCAACTCTTCATCTTCTCCTTCTTCTAGTATAGGCCTCTTCTTCAATTCATCTCCTCTTTTTTTGTTCATCTGCGACCCGAAAATGAGCTGCTCTCTTCTTCCCGTTGCGTGTGGGTCAGAGGAAAAGGCCCGGAATGTTCTTCTCCCACTCTTTTTACTCGGCCCTTCATTTCTTTCTTCTTCTTTTTTTTCCATGAGAATGATGGATCCCATGCATAAATATGCATCAACCCCCCCCCCCCCCTACGCAGATACTTTTCATTGTGTCAGTAGTGCCTTTGTGCTTTGTTATATTTTCAAAAATAGATTTTTTTTTTGAAACCAATCTACAAATACATCTCGAACTCAGTTTTCCCTATCAACGTGTGTTTCAAAAAGCCCAAAACTCATCATTTGGGTTTAAAGTAGACGAAAAAAGTGTGTTTCCTAATTGAACCAATTTTTGTCTGTCTGACAGAAAACTTTGTCCTATTTCCTAATGTTTAGTCACCACTACTACAGCGCGATGTCCAGAAGCTATTTGCGTCATTTGTCACAACGAAGCACACGGGACGACGAAAAAATGCGTTTGTGTGGCGGACGAACCTTCCTAGTACCAGACAACAAAAAACAATAATTACACCGGAGAAGAAGCAGCCAACGAACAGATGACCAGTAGTAGTTAGGTGCCTCACTCACTTTTTCTATAACTTTAAATCTTTTAGAAGCATCTTGTAGTACGAGGTCCCTAGTAGTGTAGAGATGGCTGGGAATCCCTTACAATTAGGAATTGTTTTTAAATATTCTTCTGAAAAGTCTACTGTAATAATAGCTAAAAAATAGTTATTCCTATAATTCTGATTCATTCTGATTATCCTTCGCTGTTTTACGTTGAAACATTCTTGTCATACTTGTAAGCCGCCCCCCCCCCCCCTGGCAGCCGTTTCTGGATTCTGCCATAGTTACTTTAAAAATCAATATTTTCGAATCGACTAAATTGATTATTATAAACCTCAATGACTACTTTAAAATGATACTGTTTGTAATACTGTATTTTGTCTTTGAACAAAGTTATGAGCCAAAACCCATCGGAGCTACGAAGACGATTTTTTTTGGCTTGATGTATCTTTGTTCATAGTCAAGATGCAGTAATCAAAATACCATTGTTTTGTAGTACTTATTGAGTTCTATCATATCCTATTTAGTTGGTCTAAAAATACTGATTCTAAAAGAAACTATGGCGTGATCCGCCAGAAGCCCGCCAGAGGTCCACCAGGAGTCCTGGTGGCCGGTTTACAACCCTGGTAGTGTAAAAATGGTTGGGAAAACTTTAAGAATAGTTTTTGTAATGTGACCTTAATTATACTGTAGTTAAAGCACAACGTTATTATGCCGACTCTTTTTATTGGAACTTATCTTGTGATTAGTGTCTCCTAGAAAAACTTCTTCTTCTTTCTTTAAACTAATGTTTCAATAAAAACTGAGAAATCAGCTGACGATTCGGATGACCACGTGTGTGTAGTTCTCATCCCGGACCAGTACACTTTGAAGTTCCGCGGCAAGAACTTCTGCCTTCTACCAACTTCGAACTCAATTTCTTCATTTTTTTTTCTTAAGAATTCTTTCTCTAAAAACGTTCTGTTCAGTAAACATAGGTTGTACATCCCAAAGTTTTTGGTAACCTAATACTCTCTTGAGTACGTGCAACCGTTCCATAGATTCAAGTTGTGTCCCCAAAATCCTGCAAAACTTCTCTTTTTAATCTTTCCGTACCCCTCCTGCTCTCTATGATCATCTATTTATACTTCCAGACACGATTTCTCTCCCTCTATCTCTTTCTCAAGAAAGACTGACTTCAGATCGAATCAATCTTTATCTCGGCGTCTCCCCTCTCTCCAAGGATCCTTCAGAGTCCCACAGTTGTTCTCCCCCCTACATCACTTCCCGTCACCACATGTGTCTTCTCATATTTTTCACTTCCAACCAAAACCCTCTCACCCGACCTTTCTTTTTTTTTGTATTTCTAATTTCAGAAAAAAAACAAAGCTTCTTCTATCCTGCAGCTTGTTATGTACTAATTGCTATGAGATCGAAAATTGTCGACAGCGAAGTTGAGCCAAATAAAAATGTGAGTTTCAGCTCTTTTCCATACTTGTAAATCGGGGGCTTTGCAACTACAGTATATTTAAGGTTACATTTAAAAAATTATTCCTAAGATTTTCCCAACCATCTTTACATTGCTACTTGTAAACCAGGTTATTGGCGGACCCCTGGCGGACTCCTGGCGGACTTCTGGCGGGTCTTGCCGGGCCCCGCCATAGTTTCTTCTAGAATCCACTTTTTTAACCAACTAATAAAAATATGATAGAACTCGACGAGTACTACAAAATGATACTGTTTGGATTACTGTTTCTTGTCTACAAACAAAGTTACAAACAAAACAAACTGCAACAAAAACAAACCCAGTCCGGTGCGGCCACTTTATGGCTTGTAACTTTGTTCATAGACAAGATACAGTATTTCAAATTATATCATTTTGTAGTACTTGTCAAGATCTATCATATCTGATTTAGATTGTCTGAAAATATTAATTCTAAAAAAAACTGTGGCTAGGCCCGTGAAAGACCTGGTAAAGGCACTGTCGCAAGTATGCTCGTAGCTCAGCCGGTAGCGCCGATGTACCCCTGATCTATTCCTCATGAGTTCAACTCATCATGGGGGTTCTTTAGGCAGAATATCTAGAAAACGCTCTTATCAAAACGCCGAATCCGTACCCTATAAATCACATCTCCTAGTCACGTCACTCCTATAGACACTTCCATGTGCCTAGGCACACACACATTTTCGGTCCATTCCCTTTTTGGCATCTCATCTTTTTTGTTCGCTTCCCATCACACAGACCTCCAAATTTGTCCATTGCCGAAAGTGACAGCAAAATGTCCTCCTTCTCCTTCTCCTTTCTTTTAGTTTCTCCTCAAATCTGGTTGCTCTACTAGGGAAATTCCTACTACTTCCCCCTATTGTTAACGACTCATGAAGAACGTGATTTGAGGGGAGAGAGGGCGCATGCTGGCTGGCCCCTAGGAGAGTCTGCCTCCTTTGATTGATCTGACATTCTCCCATCCTTCGCTTTTCACGTTTTCTTAGTTAACTGCTCACATCCCCCCTTCCTATGACTCCCTCTATTTCTACAATCAGCTCTAAAAAGTGTCGACTCGACCGAAACGATATATTCTCATGGTTCAGACAGGTCTCTTGACACCAATCAATTTTAAAAGTATCATGTTCTATCTTTAAATTATTCCAGATGAATCCCAAACCAGGATTCCTTCGAAGGCAGTGGCGGAAAGTGAAAGGAGAGGTGGCTAACTCTCTGCTGACCCAATACCGGCGATGTGTGATTCGAATGAAACGTTGTCTCCAGGAGAACAATGATGTGGAACAGCAAAGAAGGAAAAGTCAAGCGAAACTTCATCCGCTTCCAGGTTGGTACGATTTGAAATTCAAAGTCCAAGAGTTAAAACCTCAAACTCTTGGAAGATTTAAAAAAGACAGATGACATACATCGTTTCTGTTAACGACTGGGTACTAAAGTGAGAGCGAATCAGTGATAAAACAAATGGAGTGTTTTAAGTTTATTGCTCACAAGCTCTCAGCGAACAAAGATCTAGTTGTAGTCGGAAATAAGTTGAAATTCAATCGTTGAATTATACTTGTGAATCGGGTCCTATCGCCCGGGTACCTGGCGGACTCCTGGCGGGCCCATGGCGGGTCTTTGCCTGCCCTGCCATAGATTCTTTTAGAACTAATATTTGTAGACCAACTAAAATGTATCTAATAGAACTTGACAAGTACTGCAAAATGATACTGTTTGGAATATTTTATCTTGTCTATGAACAAAGTTACAAGCCAAAAATCATCTGAGCTACGCGGTTACAGCTTTATGGTTTGTAACTTTTTTTCTAGAGAAGTTAAAGTTTTTCAAATAATATAATTTTGAAGTACTTTTTTAGTTCTATCATATCCAATTTAGCTAGTTCAAAACTATAGATTTTAAAAGAAACTATGGAAGGATCGACGAGGCACGCCAGAGGTCCGCCAGAAGCGAAGTTCCGCCAGGAACCAGTATATCTAGTAGCGCAATTTTTTCTAGTTTTTCCAGAATTATTTATATTCATAAGCTAGCTATAAGATAAGTTTGATTCCTTCGAAATTTTAACTTTCCCATATCCCTCCAATTTAGGTCCAATTGAATCCCAAATCTCGTAGGCAGAATTGATATTTCAGCCTATTTCCACATTTTGTAATCTGTGATCAACATGCTATCAAAACTCCTGTCACGTAAGCTATCGTAACATAGAAAGAGAGGGAGAGAGACATGTGATATCTTCTATCTTTTTTTTTCTAATCATTTGTTTTATCACAAGAAGAGAAGATAGGAAACTGCTGATGACGTAGCTCACTTTCAAAAGGAGCAGCCCCCCTCCACCCTCAATCTTTTGAAATCACCGCCCTGGTTCAGACTATGAAATATAGGGACCATTTCAAAATAAACATTAAAAACCATACTTTTCAGATCGTCCACTCCGTCGAGCCGCTTCCAAACTAAATCGAAAACCAACCAACGAAATTGAGCGACTCCGTAAAAAAGGGGACGATTGGAACGCCAATGATCTGTTTAAATTTCAATATTCGGATCCTGAAGAGGGAACACCGGAAGAGAGAAAACAGTTGTGCTATGATTGGCTGGATAGACTACATGACATTTCGAAGAAGTATTGCTATTTGGCATGGTACGAGTCTGCGATCTATGCCTGCTACTATCGCCTGGCACCTATCCTAACGGATCCAGTTGAGAAACAACGTATATGGCACGATGTGAAACATGAGTATGCAGAGATATTCATGATGGGACGGCGGATATGGAGACGTGCTATTCATCCAAGCAGATTGCGCGTGTTCTATGATCTCGCAATGCTGTGTGTTCGTTTTGGGGATATGGAGGTAAGCGAGAGAGAAGCTAAATCTTTCAAAAAATTTAAATTTCAAAGAATGATGACACTGTCCCAAAATTCAAAGCGCTGATGGCAGATTCTACGAATTTTGACTTCAAGATTCTCAATGAAACGGAATTCATTAAATCGCTGGATAAGGTGAGAGACTCTTTTTGTATACCGTAAAAACTCTAATATATCCCTCCAATTGAATGCCACCCTCTAATAGAACGTTCTCTGAGCAGTGCTCTGAAAAATAGAACGCCACCCTCTAATAGTGCGTCACCCCAAAAACATATTTTCATTTCACCTTCTAATTGATGGTTACAGTACAGGCCAAAAAAAACATTTGAATAAGGATAATAGTTAAAAAAGGTCAAATTTGAATAATTTGAACCTTTTTCAATTTTTGGTATGCTGAAAACATCCCACGACCCTGAACGAAGTGTTTTCTTATGATGTCGAATAATAGAATGCCACCCTCTATTAGAACGTCCTCACAGCTAACTCAAACTCAAGCTCGTCCCTAAAAAGAAGAATTAGTTTCTCAATGTTTTCTCCCTGAGGGATTTTTCCTGAATTTTTTAAGTATTTAAATAATAATCTACATGATTTTCTGCACAAAATAAAGCTTTAAAAATTTCACCACACCGCCTCTAACTAATTTTATTCCAGGTGATCAAATTGGAAAACTTTGTCATCGATCAATTCTACAAACGACGTCGCAGCAGTGGATCGATTCGATCCTCCTTCCGTTCCCGTAGAAACACTGATTGCTCACCATCCCGTCGTTCCGAGAATCTAGACGAATCATCATTTCAAACAAAAGCCGACGACGATTTGGACGTTTGTAGTCTGGCGGAATCTCTTCAACAAATTTCTGTAAGCCTACCAGCGCCTACATCTGAGAACCGAGTGTCAAGTGTAACCCTGACGATTCCAACAATTGTTATCGATGGTCCAGAAGGCGTCAGCCCAACAAGAAGTCGTCCTGCTTCACCTCGATTGGTTCGATTCGACGAATAAGGAACCGGAACACTCTCTTTATCACCTTACGAGTATATTTCTTTTTGGACGGGATCATCAATTTTTTTAAACATAATTCAGATTTTCACATATTTTTCACTTTCTCATATAATATTTGTGCCTTATTTAGATGGTTGGAAAATGAATGAATAAATACATCACTGTCATCAGGCATTCATTAAAAATGAAACGGAAAGGGGAAAAGCAAGGGGAGTGGAGGCGGGAGGAGACAAGTACACACACAAATAAATAAGGAAAAGGGTGTTGTCGATTACTTACCAAATCACCAGACAACAAAAAATACAATTTTTTTTTCTTTAATATTATATTACACAGGAAAGTTGATAGAAGAATGAATCGAAACAAGGCGGAGAAAATAAAATAAACACCAAGAGCCAAAGAACGGGAAAATGAGTAAACGGGAGAAGAGATTCGGAAGACAATTCATTAGAAAAGTGGATATTTGAAAATGGAATCATATTTAATCAATCTTGACTGTTTGATAGATTTTTCGAACGAACTTCGCTGTTCCAACATATCCGATTGTGCCAGTCATCAGACCAAGAGCGGCGGCGAAAATTCCCATGTAACCAAAATAGAATACTGTTTGGAAAAGACCATACATTCTGCAAATTAATTCATCAAAATTAGTTTTTTTCAAATTGCAACTCACTTCGTCTTGAAGAAGAAATAGTACATTGAATACATGTAGACATAGAAGGACGTTGAAGCTCCGCAAGCAAAGCTGGTCCATCTCCATCGGTAATCCTCTGCATTCAGAAGGAAGTAGGAGCACACAATGGTAACGCAGACAGTGACGATAGATAGAATAATCGTAACCAGGAGCATGAATCCATAAACGTAGTAGATTTTGTAGGCCCAGAATGATGTGAAAATGAAATACATCTCGATGAAAATGGATCCAAATGGAAGAACTCCGCCAGCCAATGTAATTAGCCATGGCTGAACGAACCACTTCTTGTCTGGAATCGGTCGTGGCACTGCGTTCACTCTGCATGGATAGTCGGCCGTTCCAGCCATATTTCTTCCAATAACTGTTCCAACAAGGGTTAATGGAAGAATTACGAACAAGCAGATCGCCGTAACAGCGAGCATGATCGTGAATGGAATTGCACGAGATGCGTGGTAGTAAATGGCAATGAAGTTGATCAGGAATGCAACTCCGCAGACCATGCTTGGTAGAAGGAATGCTCCGAGTAGCATTTGTTTGATCCAGTGACGTCCACCAAAACGAGCATACATCGAACCACCTGCATAACCATTGACTGGAGAGCATGCGGCGTAAACGAAAATAGCAGCAGAGAGAAGCGATCCACGTCTGAAAAAGGTTCAAATTGGAAGAGGGCTGATTAGGATTGATATAAGTCAACTCACTCTGTATAAAATTCTCCAACGATTGCGAGAATAGTTGTGATGACTGCGACCGTAAACACATGATATCCTGCACCAATACAGGAGGAGAACAATAATGGAAGAGATGGCGGCCGGAAAACATCTCCATGAACTTGCTTCCATCCATATTCATCGCCAAGATCTGCATCAAGATCGTCCAGGCTATCTTCCTTTTGGTAGCGAGCATAATCTTTTCTCAGCGTGCGAACGAGAATCATCCATACCAAACCAACGAGGAAAACTACCATCATGAAACTGTTGAAGATCGAGAACCAATGAATCTGTAAATTTGGAGTTTGCAAATTATAATTCCTCAGAACTTACTCTATGTTGGAAGAAGCTTGGATCTAGATACTTGTCGAATCTCTTTGTGAAATCAATTTCTGACTTGGTCCATTGTACTTCGTAGGTGAATGTGAGCTCAGCACCAGGTCGAATGTCCACTCTTCCATCAGTGGTCAGATTAATATCAACAACTTGCTTGTCGTTGTAACCGATATCAAGACGTTTATGTGTGTAGAGCTTGTATGTCGGCGGGCTGACACTGTTATCGATTTCTCCTACCATTCCCCAAATGGGCATATCATCAAGGTACATTTGATAGTAGTAGCTATTTTGAATCGCGTACAAAAGAGTCTTGTAGTCAGTTTCGGTTAGCTTCTTCTGACACACCACTGTTTTCTTTGTGTTTGCTGAAAAATTAGCTTATGGGATGGTGTTATTGAGCAGAAAAAAAAATTACTTCGGAACTTGATATCGAGTCCGGAGAATTCGAGTTCTACACCAAGCAACGACTCTCCCATCGTTTCATGGTAATGTCCAATCTCCTTCTTATCTCCTTTGCAGAATGGAAGAGAGAAGTAGGTGTAAGTCTCTTGTCGGTTGGAATACGGGCCAACCTGAAACTTCTGTTTTTTGTAAAACAAAATGTTTGGAACAGTTTTACCGTGTTCATCCATAGCACGACTTCTTCGTCCACTTCGTATAAATGATCATGTTCGTCGGCTTCTACGAGCAACGAAGACAGTAGTAGCAGGCTTATGAATACCCGCATTTCTGAAATCGATTTACTGGTTATAAAGGAGTATTAAGAAAGGGGAAGATTATAAGAAAGAGATTTTATAGTTTGTCTTTCGTCGAAAAATCAAAAAACAGTTGAAAATTGAAACAGGAAGAAGCCACTAGGAAGAAGCAGTGCTGTTCACACCGAACGGTGGAGTTTACGTGGCAATCGAGAGAGTGTGCGGCGGTGAGAGACGCAGACAGAAAAGAATACAATGGAGCGCGATTGTAATGGCTCAAAAAAAACATTTTTTAATTAAAATTTCAATTAAATGCACCGAATTGAATCAGCTATCGAGAAAGCAGTCAAATTTCGTTCTCATGGAATTTTTATCAGCGAGACGTTTGAATTGGCGCGGCGACAAGCGAGAGATGCTATTGAGAAGGGCCTAAACCCGTTTCCCGTGGCTGTGAAGGATTGTTTTCTGTAAAGCGTATAAGTACATGTTGCCTAAACTATCTAGAACTTTGTTCAGAACGTCTACAAGCACAACATGCGCGTCACAAATGTTGGAAAACTACACACCACCTATGAATGCAACAATTGTGGATCGTATCGTTGCGAGAGGAGGATGTATTATCGGAAAGACAAATCTTGATGAATTCTGCATGGGAACATCTTCAGCTCTTGGTCATTTCGGTCCTGTCAAAAGTGCACTTTCCGAAGCCATGTCTGACGACTGGCTGATCCCCGGCGGAAGCTCCGGAGGCTCCGCAGTAGCTGTTCAGACTGGGATTGCCGATCTGTAAGAAGCGAATTTGCTAGCAAATACCGTAAAACCTCTAATAGAACGACATCCGGAACGTCCACTTTGAGCCTATATATCTCACTTCTTTTGAAAGGTATCAAAAAGTGGTTAACTAGTAAAATGTTTATCACGATATCAGCAACATTTTACTAGTGAGCCACTTTTTGATATCTTTTGCAGAAAATGAGATATATAGGCTTAAAGTGGACGATCCGGGTGTCGTTCTATTAGAGGTTTTACGGTAATTTAAATAATTCTAAAATGGTATAGTTCAGAGCACTTGGATCCGATACAGGAGGTTCTACGCGCAATCCAGCTGCATTTAATGGAGTTTTCGGTTTCAAGCCAACCTATGGAGTCCTCTCAAGATCGGGGTTGATTCCACTTGTCAACTCATTGGATTCGCCTTCAATCTTTACAACCAGCGCAGAAGCGTGTTGGAAATATCTAGAAATGTTAGCTGGAATCGATGCAGCCGATTCCACGTCAGTGAATCTTCCAGAAATCCAAGGAATACGGTCGATTGAAGACTTGAAAGTAGGGATCCCAGCTGAATATAACAACGAGTGTTTATCCGATGATGCTTGGAAATTGTGGAATCATGCAGCTAACATTTTGGAACGACAAAAAGCTCAGATCATACCGATAAGCCTACCAACAACCAAATATTCTCTAGCATGCTATTCGGTTCTTTCAGCAGCAGATATTGCTTCCAATATGGCGAGGTTTGAGGAATTTCGCTAGTTCTCAGTGAATATTTTTTCTTTTCAGGTATGACAGTGTTGCGTATGGTCATCGTTCAAAGATGGACAATTCGACTTATGAGATGTATGCTTCTTCACGTTCTGAATCTTTAAATACCGTTGTTCGGAAAAGGATTTTTGCAGGAAACTACATGTTAATGAAACAGTGAGGATAATCTATAATACCACGAAAACCAACAATAGATTTTTCAGATATCGAGAACTATACCTCGAGAAAGCATTAAAAGTCCGAAGAAAGATCAGTAACGAGATTCAAGACGCTTTCAAAAAAGTGGACATCATTATCACCCCAACAGCAACTGGAACAGCACCAAAGTACTCTGAACTTCGAGATACATTATTCACGAAAGAAGATGACGATGATTATTTCACTCAAGCTGCGAACTTGGCTGGCATCCCTGCGATTTCAGTACCAATCGGGAAAGGTTGCAATGGGCTGCCGATCGGAGTGCAGTTGATGGCGAATAAATTACAGGACAAGACTCTTTGTAACATTGCACAACTTTTGTGTCGGGTTCTTTAGGCTTTTTTTAATGAATTGTATATTTTACGAAACTTCTTTGTTTGCTCTTCCCTTTTCCCGTCTAGAAACATTTGCATCTTCCGTCACACATTTGATAAGACCTTTATTGCTTCTTTTCCCCTCGACATTTTCAGAGTTTCAGCATTTTACTCATTTTCTAAATATGACCTTCTCTACTTGGAGAATTTCGATAACTCAAAAGATCTAGATCAGATGAAACCTAGCGATACATTTCGAAGTCACTTGGAGTGAATAAAAATCACTTGTTCCAAACACTCCGTATGTGCTGCTTATTTTTCTCTCCGTCTCTTTAGTTCCCTATTCACTTTTTTCCGTGTCATCGCAATCAGATTAGAGCCCCCTGTGTCACTGGAGGAAGAAAAATGAGGCGCGGCGCCCCGCGAGACAGTACTGGCTGTGCAAACTGACGTGATGGTGTTTGCGGTCGCTTGTCACTTTCAAGAAGTGTGTCTGTGGCCCCGATGGTCACATACTAACCTGTGTACCCAAAAAAGAAGAAGAGCGACAAAAATGCTATTTGTGGTGTCTTCCTCATTCTCTCTATGTTTGTATTTTTAACCGCCTCTCCTCTCCACACTCTTTTTGAAATAAAATGCCATCGATTCAAATAGTGTCGAAGCATAAGTTATTTTATGAGTCACAGTCAAGTTGGCCCTCTTTTTTTGGTATTTTGAAACAATTCCCTTGCAAGAGAAGCAATTTTGTTCTAAGAAATTCAACAGCATGACAGCTAGAGGCACACGAGGAGGAGGAAGAAAAATAAAGCAGAAACAGAAGAGTGGAATTCTGGGAAATGTCCCGTTTTTCTGAAAAATAGACGCTTTTATATCTTGTGTGTGGCGCGGCCAGAGGATTAGCTTATGTGAGAGACAGCAGAGAAAACATAGTTGAAGGGAACCTAGATTCTCTTTATTTTATTTTAAAAGAAAATTATTGCCTTCCGTTTTTTAAATGCTTTCGCAACCTAGTAATAAAGCTAGTCTAACAAACGTCATTTCCGCTGGACCCTGCTTTCACAATTTCAGCGGTATTTTTAAAGGCGCAATGTTGAAAATTCTGTTTTGGTTTCGCAGCCATTTGAAAATCTTGTCTGCTCCTTTAAAGCTGTACTGTAGAAATAATTGCGCTAATTCCGTTCTTCTGTCGATTCCTGCTTTAATTTGACTCGCCTAATTAGTATCCTTTTTGCAGGTAACGCAACACCTAATTGTCACAAATGTCAGGCAACGCGTCGTTGTCTGTCTGGAATGAAGACGGTCCCCCTTTAGTGAGTTTCTGAAGATCTCTTATGAAGTAAAAAATGTGTGTTTCTTACAGGATGATCAAGGATCTCCGGAACAAAAAAGCAAGAATCCCCCGCCGCTTCCCACATCAACACCTGTAGTGAAATCGGCTGTTGAAGAGTCTCGCGATGTTCCAACTGGTGATTTGATTCAATTCGAGAGTGAAGAAGAACGAGTGAACACAGTGGACCCGACTGCTCCTACAACAGAAACGCCAGTTCCTATGGAAGAGCAATCGATGGAATCGATTCTGCGTGGATTTCTGAAAGAAGAAGAGTCGCTGACTGGACCAGATTATCAGAAACGATTTTATGTGAGACAACCTTTCCAATCAATAATTTGAAGTAAAAAAACAATTTTCAGCAAATTCGTATCGAACAAGAAAGGTTGAAAAGTGAATACTCAGCAGATTGTGCGAACGCCCCTCGACATTTGCCTAGGAACAGATACCGAGACATTCTACCATGTAAGACCTACACTTGTCAGTGTAATACATTTAAAAAACTTCTTTCAGATGACCACAACAGAGTCGAATTGGCAAAGGACAGCGAGAATCCAGAAGGTTACATGAACGCTTCTCTGATTCAGCTACCTGGCGGAAAGACCAATTTCATTGCCGCGCAGGCTCCTTTGGAACTCACTCTTGGCGAGTGGTGGCAAATGATTGATGAGCACAATGTTCATTTGGTTGTCATGCTTTGTAAATTGATTGAGCTCAACAAGGTGAAGTGTGAACGATACTGGCCAGATACTATCGGAGAAGTCGAAATGTTCGGTTTGCTTGAAGTAACACTGGAAGAGGAGAAGCATTTCCCGGATGACGAGTATCTTCTACGAGTTTTCAAAATGGAGAATCCGTCAACCGGCGAAACTCGGACAGTTCGTCAGTTGCATTATAGAGAATGGCCAGATCATGGATGTCCATCTGGCGAGAAACAACTATTGAAGATGATCGATCACATGGAGGAGCTGCACGATCAGTATTCCCCGGAGTCGCCGATTCTCGTTCATTGCAGCGCTGGTGTCGGAAGAACAGGAACAATAATTGCGATCAATTATATCAGAGAGCAAATGAAAGCACAAAGTCTGACGGAAATCGACATTTTCGGATTGGTGATTGCTCTACGGAGACAGCGAGCAAGTATGGTTCAAACCCAAGATCAGTATCAGTTTGTTCATCGCTGCATCGCTTCTTACTGTCGCAAGCACCTTGGAATTGAGGAGCCGAAGCCTGATAATCTAGCTACACAGCTTCCTGTCGGTAGTAGTGGAACAGTCAAGCTAATTGCTCCACCAACGCCAACAACATCTGGTGATCAACCTGCCAGTTCAACCGGATATCAGCCGGATCCGATGTTGGCAGGAAGTATAGTCGAAGACGAGATGGACGCCACCAATGTGCCGGATTTTCCGAACGAGCCGCCTGCCCCACAGGGGCCGGAGGATCTGGGCAACAGTGCGGCAATGCTTTAAATGTGAGTTTTTATGGAGTTATTCAGTGGTAGCAAATCAGCAAATTGCTGGTTTTTTCCTTATGCAGAAAGCTGGGGCCGATTCCTGGAGTTTTCCAGGCCATA